TATATATATTACTTTTATTACTAATATATTACGTATATATTACTTTTATCGACGATTTATCAAACTACCCATTATTTTTTATTAACCTTCTTATCGAGGTGACGAATCTTAGAAGATTAATATCTCAAATTTCTTCAAATAAGTGATAATTATAAAATATCAAGTAGATATTAAATTTGAAAAAATGCAATTTTAAAATAATCATGTTTATAATAATAATAATTGATTTAGAAAATTTCTCTATAAAAAAAGAAATTGAAAGAAAGAAATAAATTCAGAAAAATTAACGGTAATGGCTTACTATCGAAAGGGTTAAAGACAGGTAAGATGACTTCCAATTGACTTTGTATTAGCAAGATACTGCAACGAATGACTGGCGCGAAATAAAACTGAGTTGTAACACGAGCGTCGATTAGATACGATCGACGCAGACGTTCTCTTTCGTACACCTAAAACTTCATCTCATCCTGTCGAGGTATTACCTGCACAATACTGACGCATGTGTTACATCTCGTAAGAGATATTCACAGTTCGTGAAGATTGATGATTTCCGTAATGTTTGAATGAAATTGTAAGTATATTTTGAAAAAGAAAAATCAAAGAGATAATTTTGATGACACGTTAATTTTTCTTCGAACCTTCTTTTTTATTCCTTCTAATATTTATCAATAGTTTGTTAAGCTTTTCGATTCCCTCTTTTTGACAGGATGACTTTCTAAAATGAAAATTTTAGAAGAATAAAATTATATTGAAAGTTGAAAAATTTTAATTGCTTGAATTTCTTAGGATATTTCGTATGTAATGATAAATAAACGATAATTGAGAAGAAATATATGTTTAAATTAAAAATTTCTATATATTTATAATTCTTAGAAATATTAAGAATTTAATATTTTTGTTTTTTTTTTTTTTTGATAAAATTTTTATACTAAAAAAATAAGTGTAATTTCTTGAAATAAATTATATATTCAATATTAATAAATTGTTCGATATAATTAATTTATAGTGTATATACAGATACCAAAAATATTCACTAGAGATAAACGAAAGTAGAAAGAAATGAGTTCTTCAAGGTAACACTTTTTTTTTCTTTTTTTAACTACATTTTAATAACAGATTCGACAAAACTTCTGTCGGAAACTTGTTAAATAACGTCGCGTTTTATCGATAAGTTTTATTGATCTGATATCACGGTTCGTAATGAATTCAGGACAATAAAACCAAGTAATCCAACGATCATTCGTAAAACGTGTATAAGCTTCAAAGCTTCGCTCGACGATAAAGAATTGTAATCAACGTGTTCTCCTTTATCAGCTTGGATGAGAATAAAAAATTGTAAAAGCATAAAAACCGCGCGTGTTACTTTCGTAGATGCAAGTTGATCTTTTTAAAAAAAAAAATTCTTCTTTTAATTTGTGATGACACGAGCACATTTTAGGAGAAAAGATAGAGAGGGAACAAAGATTCAAAAAACGAAAGAAAACGAAATGAAGCGGTAGATATATTTCTTAAAAATTTCGATCGAGGGTAAAAATAAAATTAAAAAAAAAAAGATAAAAAAGAAAGAAACTTTCATGCAAATTATAACAGATGATAGAGATTCTTTTTTTTTTTTTTTTTTTTTTTTTTTTAAATTCGAAGAAAACAACACGAACATTGTGAATGTTTCGTAAAATATGTAAACCAAGATGCAAATTGACATTTTGAATTATCGGGAAATACCGAGATATATTTTTCCGAGTAACGATTACCAAATGACTCAATGCTTTAGAAATCATATCAACTTCCCGTGACTTTATTCGTGAATTTCATACGTGAATATAAAAAATTGTTGGAAAATTTTTTATAAATGAATCATTCGATATTAATTGATATTTGAAAATAATAAGAAGTACTTTATAAGAAATAAATTGAATCAAAAAGATAATATAGAACTTTACTTGAAATTTTTTTCCATAATAAGATATATTCATGTCGAAATAGAACTTTAAGAAGAGGAACGCGATATACGATATATACAATAACGATAACAAATGACAATGTAATTTCGATATAGATGGAAATCTTTTGTCAAATTCTGGGCAGTCGATAGAGCAACAAGATGGTCTGACAAATTTCCACTCCATCCACGAGAAATAAGTCGCCGTTTAATCGAATTCGTAATGATTATTCAGTGGCGATCGATGATGGATAATTTGAGCGACATTTACTATCTCGTGCGGCTCATCATCCGCCAAGTTTCTATATACTTACGGGTACGATTGCGTGATTAACCTTCTCGCATAATGAAGTTTACATGTTACAATTTATACGATAATAAAATTGAATTAAAGAAGGTAGCATTCGAAAAAAAAAAAGAAGAGAGAATTGTCATTACCTTAAAAAATCTATCTCTTTATTTATTTTATATCTATGGAATTTATCTAACACGATCCAACGTAATGATTATTCTTA